AGGTGTTTTTCTCCTTGAACATTTCAGTTTCACAATAGACGTTTATACACCATTCGATAGAGAATTTCAAGAGCTACATTTTGCACTATTTGTATTTCAAGATAGATAAAATCGAATTTTTGGCCTAATGTCCGCTTAGTTGCCCACTGTGCAACAGAAGCAAATATTAAAAGATTAATTCAATTTCTTAATGGATTGGAACTATATATCACAACACAGTCAATGAAAGAAGTGGTATTTAATACAAAAACGGGTCAAATGATTGCTAATAGTGAGAAAGAATGTCTATCCCACTTGGAAGACATATCTAATAATGGAAATATGAGTTATTTGTTATATATTTATGAGAATAGATCAACAAGGAAAGATGAATATTTTGCTAAAGAATTAGGCAAAACGATTCAAAAACAATGTTGTACTATCTTTTGCAATGGTCGAAATCAGAATCAAGCATTCGAACTGCTCGATGTTATTCGTGATATAATACTCAGTGATGCGCACGAGTATGAAGCGATATTGGATACGCATAATCTACGTGAATGTAAAAAATTTAATTTTGATAATTCATCATACGTGCCAAAACTAGGTTCTTTAGTTACATCAGATGAATTCCAAGATCTCGTACAAGGAATTTATTTGTGTGCACCAGGTGGTTACGTTGCACGAGAAATTCCTATCGACGATGCTGCAAGCGATCTGAAAGATTCGAATATCCCAACAGATTATCTACCAGAATATTACCATGCACGAATTGTTAAATGTTAAGTAATGAAGAAATGATGGTTATAAGTATGCCGGTAACAACAAAAGGTAAAGCACATAAATTTACATGTTTAAAAACATTAAAAGAACAAATTGACATAGATGTAAAAGAAGCAGAAAAAAATAAGCCCTTTCGTTTTTGCTACATTTGTTACAAAGTTGAGCCGTTTTTCTCCTAACAGTTTTGAAAGTCAAAAACTGGGTTACCTTTGTCAGAAAATGCACAAAATCTAAGAGATTCCCCTATATAGGTTCAATTAGCATGTGGACCGTGTTAAAAGATCTCAAAATAAATGCACAAAAGTGAGAAATGCACAAAATGGTTGCTTATGGTCTCTATATGAGTTTCCTCAGTGTAATATTGCTTTGTTGTTGGTGACTTACAGGATGTAGTGAAGATCAGTTCGGTCCTGTTTGACGAACTGAGGATAGCGGCATAGTTCCAGAGCACCTCATTCACAGGATGCTAGATTAGCTCTCGGCTCTAGCAACGAACTGTTCATAGCGTTAGTATTTCTCGGATACACGTCCTTTGCAAGTACAAGCATGATGTTTCATCACATACAACAAACGTTTCCTTATGGTAAAAGTCAGAGACGAGCAATACGATATCAATCTATCTCACGTATATTTTGAGATTTAAATTTCAGTCTCATGGCAAACCAGAATTGAAAAATATAGGTGGATACCGTTAGATCAACAGTTGATGATAATCTTGAAGCATTCACTTTCGAATTGATTTTCCAAAATACCTTCTGACTTAGCCATACTTCAAAAAAACCATTTAGTTCAACTTTGTAACAATAGAAAAGGTGAAAGGACTTCTTCACCTTCCACCAGATATACTGTTCTGAAATAACTGTGTACTTGTTACGTGCATCATGTTCCGAAGAGTAAGCCGGTAAAACATGGTGCCAGTATGTTATTTCACGCGAGAATTTTGCTTTCTCACGAGAACTTTATCCATTTACACGTGAATTTCAGTGTAGTCCACAAGAATTTCAGTTGGACGAGAATGCAGTACGTTATTTCTAGAACTTAACCTATCTACACGGGAATTTTAGTTTAGTCCACCGGAAGTTTAGTTCGGTACACAAGAATTTTTTTTTTCTTACGAGAACTTTACCCATTTACACGAGTATTTTAGTGTAAGTTCTCGTGACAAAGCAAAATTCCCGTGTGAAAGAACTTTCTGCCTTCTTGTCAGACTCAAAATTCTCGTGGACTACACTACAACTCCCGTATAAATGGGTGAAGTTCTCGTGTGAAATAACGTACTGTATTTTCGTCAAACTAAAATTCTCATGTAGATAGGTGAAGTTCTCGTAAGAAAGTAAAATTCTTGTGTACTGAACTAAACTTCCGGTGGACTACAGTAAAATTTCCTTCTTCTTTAGATCTGCTACAGCATGAATCGAAGAGCAGCCTAACAGTTAATAATAAAGATGGATTTAATGGTAATAGTGGAGATAGATTAGATGATAATAAGCGAAATGAATTAGACGAAAAGAATGGTAAGTAACATTGACATTCTCATTTTTTAAAAAAATGTTAGCGAAAAGTAAGTGAAGAACGTTATATAAGACGTTTTCAGACTGTACTTTGGGTAAGTTTTCCTGGTATGTATGGGCTACAATCTAAGCTGCCTAAATCTGTATCTGAATTTCTACTTTCTTGGGAATTATTTATAGTAATTCAACGTCGATTTTCTATAACCTGCAAATTTCTTGCCGAATTTTCAGCAGTCTTAAAATTATTCAAGGGGGGTTGAGTGATTGTTTGTTACATTCAAATTTTTCCTGAAAGCAGATTGGTATGTCCTACAAAGATGATCTCCACATGACTACTTGAGTCGTTTCCAAAATTTCGCTTTCTCCGAAAACTCGACTTTTCAGCCACAGCACATCGAGACAGCAGCGTGAAGTGGCCTGAGTTGATCATCATAATATTCAACTTCTAGATCCAAATAATGTACGTTCGCAGAAAAATGAATGTTTCCTTTGTACGACAAAAAGAGAAACTCAACTCAGCACACCGAAATAGTTTCTCCCAGATGCTTTTTAGAGCAAGAAGACGACTTTTGCGAAAACCTTTTTCTGTTTTGAAAACGATCCTATGTCCTTAAGAACACAGAACTTGATTGCGCTTAGAGGCCATAAAAAGCGAACTTTGCGCTCTAGAAAACGCTAATTTTTGATAATTCGCATTTTTTACCGTGAAGCAAGCATCTGACAAAGGCGACTACACAGTTTTGACTACAGAAAGGGATATACGTAGGTTTGTAGAAGAAGACTTTCTCTATCCAATGGTGTATACATTATCAAATTCTGTTGCATACCGTGAGCGAAAAATGAAGGTGCCCCTCTGCTTTTAGACTCTTTTAGAAATTTTTTTTATTTTTGAGTTAAATGTTGTGCATTATAGAGTAAAGTGTCCTCTATAAAATCAGCCCACTTCCAGCTTTCCTTGGCCTTCCGCTGAGGAGATACGAATTTTTTAAAGTTTCTTACTTTACGCTGAAAAAACCCTATTTGTTTACTTTCGAAACTTTTTTCTGTTCCACTCAGTAGTTGATAAACTTTTAAAATAGTCAGTCGTTTAGAGTAAAAATTTCTCTACAAAATGAGATGTCTGCCAGCTCTTCACCATGTTTTCTGTTAGAGTTATGACAATTTTGGACGTTATATCACAAATGTGACTTTTTCAAAGGCTTCCAGAAAAATTGTCATAACTCTAACAGAAAACATGGTGAAGAGCTGGTAGACATCTCGTTTTGTAGACAAATTTTTTACTCTATGATGCACAACAATTAACTCAAAAATAAAAAGAATTTCTAAAAGAGTCTAAAAGCAGCGGGGCACACCTTTATTTTTCGCTCACGATATGCAACAGAATTTGATAATGTATACACCATTGGATAGAGAAGGTCTTCTTCTACAAACCTACATATATCCCGTTCTGTAGTCAAAAATCACCCTAAAACTTATAGTCGCCTTTCGCTCCGCAACCAAAAATGTTAGAAATGAACTTTCGCATATTTTATCTGGTGACACCAACTTTTCATCGCGCTTTTTATTAAAAAGGAGCACTTGAAACAAACGTTTTAACGTCATTAAATAGCCCGTAAACTGAAGTATATTCACGCTATTTGAATCTTAAAGAGAGCACTTTCGAGTTTTCGCGAAATATCCACCAGAACGCCCACTGTGCTCCGTCTATCTGTAAGTTAGCTTCTTTACAAAATAACTTATAGGTTTTTCAATTTTTTTCCATTCCATGATTTTCCAAGTTTTCCTGCTGAGATACACTGTAAAGTTGGAATTATTTATAGGGAATTTCAAAAAGTCCATGTATGAATTCCTCGAGCATTTTCTAGTTTATAGAAAATCGAAATTTCCATTTATAGAAATTCCTCGCCAAGTCTCCAGTTTTTTGGGATTTACTTATGGAAATTCGACTTCGACTTTCTATAGACTGCAAATCCCCCCTCGAATTTTCATAAATAATTTTAAGACTGCTGAAAATTCGCCAAGCAATTTGCAGTTTATAGAAAATCGACGTTGAATTACTATAAATAATTCCCAGGAACGTAGAAATTCCTTTTTGATTTTCTGTCAGTTGGAAATTCCTTGTCGAGTCCGCACCGAACGGCGAGGTGAGCGCACCCTCTCATGCTTTTAAGAAATTTCTGGTGGACTTCTCGGATTCTGGATCTTCCTGCCGAAACTACCCGGCCAAGCGGACACTCTCTCTACCTAAATCCAAATTCTTGCTTATATAGGTAGGATTGTAATTTAGGTGTCTGTGTGTGTGTGTGTGCAGAGGGGCACCTTCATTTTTCGCTCACGGTATGCAACAGAATTTGATAATGTATACACCATTGGATAGAGAAAGTCTTCTTCTACAAACCTACATATATCCCTTTCTGTAGTCAAAACCTTGTAGTCGTCTTTGTCAGATGCTTGCTTCACGGTAAAAAATGCGAATTATCAAAAATTAGCGTTTTTCTCGCTAATTAACAAAACTAGTGCTAGCAGATAAAATATGTGAAATTTAATTTCTGACATTTTTTATTCATGACTCGCACCTCTAGAATGTCTCGCTGCTGTGACAAGTAGTAATTCCTCGAATATGAATATGTCGCTAATTTATGTTTAACTGATGTCAGGTGTCACTACTCTACTGCGGACGGACGTTTATTTCGTTTGTATGACCCAAGATTTCCAGTTCAGGGAAACAAAACAGTTTTGAAATTTTTCTTGTAAACCATTGTTTGTTCTGAGAAGGAAAATACAGCATTTTGTTGAGCTTGTCGAGCTCTATTTGAACCAACTTTTGACTAGTTTGGACCAAGTTTAGGAATGCATTTAAGCGCAAAATATTCGAATCTGGTGCTAATTTTACCTATGTAAAAAGAAGACAAACAAAAATTGTGCTATCTTCCTGAATCGGCAGCACCTTATTTCGCTTTCATGTCACAAACATTATTCAGGATTGGTAGGTGAAAGAGAAGCTTTGGGCCCAACGCTCGAAAAAATTTGGTATGTGGCCAATGCTCCCCATCTCTCGTAGTTACGTCTATGTTTGAGTAATGTACAGGAAAATAAGAGTTCATTAACAGTGACTTTAGTATCCAATAGTTTCATTCAAGAGAGAAATTGCTCCGTTTGGATGGCTAAGCAAAAGTAATTACACATAACAAAGTGCCAGGGAGTGATTATGAACGAATTCTGCAAATTTCGTCGTATTTCTGCTATAGTTCGCGCAATTTTCATTGTAGAAAAGCGGTACTGTACAGATCGATATTGTGCATGCTATATCTCTAGGTTTTTCTCGAGCGTTTAATTCAGCTGATCTTCGTGCGCTAATTCACAAATTAAGGCAAAAAGGAGTGTGTGAACAAGTTGCGAAGTAAGGAGCACCAAATTCAAAGATGCAGTGACTTTTTTCAATAAATTTTTTTCGTGGATTCTGATTCGCCGCAGTGCGGCGAGCACGAATCT